AAGGACGCTGTACATAGGGTAGAGACGCTGGGAGTGACTGTAGGGGGGCATGGAGATGGCAGATGAAATAAGAGGCTACTTTATTTTTTTTCAGCAAGGGTTCCGAGTGTGATTGCCATGAAATTCACCTTTTAGTTACTTCCTTGTTTATATTGTGCCATTGAAATGATTGCGAGGTGTTAAGCGTTTTGTGTGGTTTTCCTTTTTTTAAAAAAAAACCTAAAAACAAACAAAAAAACCTTCACCATATCAGTTGCTTTAAACTCAAATTACCTCTTAAAAGACCAAGGTACATTTACCTCATGTGTATATAGTGTTTAATATTTTTTTCAGAACATTCTCCAAGTTTGCAGTTAACGTCTTTCTAGAAAGATGGGTAATTACTAAATTTACCAACTTGAGCGGTACTAAATGTATTACCTGGTGCCCCAAAACACTTTAATTTTTTCTGTCTTTTATTGTATTAGCAAGTTTGCTGCTTTGTTACTGTAGCACCTGCCCTTACGTAGCTGTGTGGATACTGACTTGTAAATTCTCCTGTTTTTTTCGGATGATTTGAGGATTCTGTACAGATGAGTGTCACTTTTTTAAAAACCTTACGAAATTGTGCATTTCCTTTACATTTCTGAAAAATATGTATTGTATTTGTAGAGTCTACATTTCAATGGATTGTAAATAGGACAGTAGAAGAGTGGATGCTTATGTTAAGTGCTAACACTACAGTAGAGAGATTAAAGCAGTGAAAATAAATAACACTTTTTTTATTATTATTCCAAATGCCTGACTTGTCTTCCAGAAGAAGGAGCTGCAGGTAGGTGTGGGTTTGGGTTATTACCTGGCAAAATGTGGGTTTGTTGGGAATTCTTTTCCTCAGAAGGGATTTTTGATGGTGTAAAAATGCTAAAAGAGTTTGGTGGTGCTGAGGAATCCGTCTCCTGAGCTGTACAGATAAAGTGCCTCATCTTCCTCCTGATGTTTGAGTAGGTGTCTCTTGCTGGTGTCTCTGAGCTCTTGGACAAAAGAACTAATGATAAAGCATTTCTTCTTCCTGTTTATATTTACATAGAAGTAACGCTGCTAAGAACTTGAGGCTGCTTAAACATCTGACCTCAGCCCATCACCCAACAGGAGGGAAAATCACCTGGTGGTGGAGGAGATTGTTTCTGTGCAAAAAGTTTCAAGAGTGGTGTTACATTTGCAAAGGAAGGTGAAGATGTAGATACACACACCAAAAAAATTGATGTCTTGCCCTTGTGTAAGCTGATGTGCATCCGTTCATTTTGACTCAGAAATGACCAGACCAGAAAATTCCCAATTTCTTCAAAATGGGAAGCAACAAGGTGTCCAGAGAAAGTAGAAAGCTATGTCAAAATGTTGTGAAGGAGGGATGATGTGGCTGAGAATGTGCCTCTCTCCCATGAGTGGCTACAGGAAGGCTTCTCCTACCCCTGCAAGGAACCCAAACTCAGTAAAATCCTGAGTATTTCTCATACATCTCCTAGAAGAGGAAATTATGGCCTGAAAATGGTGTAATAATGTTGCTGTCTAACAAGCTTTGTTTTTATTAAATAGTCGTCTGGGTTTCATGCTTGGAAGGATTAAACCCAACAACTGAGAATCCATGAACAGCAAACAACTGCTGTGAGTGTCTTAGCCGTGAGGGTGTTCTAAGGTGGTTTTAGAGATGCTGACCTGGGGTGGTCTGCAGTGCTGGCCTGGGTTACAAGTCAACCTGGAGAGTGGCAGAATTCCAGAGTTCTCACTCAATGCTCTGAGAATTTTGTTTTATGAAGCTGTGATGTTTTAACTGGTGCTGACAGTGGGGAAGTGTGTTTTGGAGGGGTGCGCTGTCATGTTGGAGACATCTGGGTGAGCCCTGGTGGGGTGGGATTCCAAATCACAGAATGTTCTGGGGTTGGAAGGGACCTCTGAGGATCATCTAGTCCAACCCCCTCCCAAAGCAGGTCCACCCAGAGCGGGGGGATGAGGGATGGCCAGGGAGATGTCAGGCTGTTGTCCACCAAAACTTTATTTGGCCACCTACTGGCGGGAGTATGGGCGCTCAGTCTCATGAGGAACATGGTGAAGACACAGCAGAGGACTTTGATCGTGCCTGTCCACATCCAAAAATTTTTGTGGCTGTTGCCAGTTCTCCCACATCTGACAGATCAGAGCGTTGCCACCAGCCTGAGTTCATCCAGCATCCTGAGAGTTTGTGGTAGGCCACAAGGGCAAAGTAGTCACTGTGATGACTAGAAAGTCATGAGACTTGTCTTTCTCAGACAAAAGGAGATGTAGGAGGGTCAGAGTTAGTTCATGTGCTAGTTCTAGGGTGGCTGCTGCAAGTATTGAGCCTGTTGTCCTCTCATCCTCCCCACCTCTTCTATGAGGACACCTCTGGAGGTGTCCAAGGCCAGGGTGATTCTATGTTGCCCTTTGTTAGGTGGTGGCTCTGCTTGGAGTTGATAGATTATTCATAAAGTGATAGAATGGTTGGAGTTGGAAGGGACCTTAAAGATCATCGAGTTCCAACCCCCTGCCCTGGGCAGGGACACCTCCCACCAGACCAGGTTGCTCCAAGCCCCATCCAGCCTGGCCTTGAACCCTCCAACAGAAGCTTCCAGAACTGGAAGTTCTGATTCTTGCCGTGGGTCATCTGCCCACAGGGACTAACATAGTCAGAAAACATCTACTTTATCGTGATTTTAAGTTAAATATCTAAAAAACTAAAAGGCAGAGGCAGTAACAGTCTTCAGAAAAAAAAAAGAGGTAAGAATTTACGGGTGGCAAATTCCAAGTTGACTCTGAGTTGTCAGAGCTTTCCTATTGCTCTGGACACCCCCATTTTAAAATCTGCCTTCAGACCTTTTTCCACAAGTCACGTATTCCCATTCCCTTCTACGCTGTGGGCCTGGAAACTCACGAGTATATTCCCAGTGGTCAAATTCTTACCTGGCACAGGAACAGGGTGAGGGATGGCAAGACAAGAAGTCTCCAATCCCACAGTTGCTGTCTAATTCTTACGTGTTCCCAAAGAGTGGAATCAGGCCGTGCTGTCTTCTGTCGATGCCCCACTGTGGAATGGGGTCTCTGACCCACGTCTCCTTCCTTCCTAAAAGGGAAGCTTTTTGAAACTTTATCTTATTTCATGAAGATAGTCTTTCGTGACCCCCAGAAGGGTGAGTGAGACTCAGTTCCTGAACCGTTCTAGACAATTCTTCATGACAGTGAGCTACCTTTTCTTACCTTTTTTTCAGGAAACTGCTTGCTTTGCTTGTTTTGTGAAGACTGTGCCTCCCACGCAAGCTGTTAGAAGGCTTTATGTTTTTGTATTGGCAGACTTCGGCCCTTACAGAGGACCTCATTTCCATCCATCCACAGATTTAGTCACTTCACCACAATAATATCGTTGAACTGCTAATTTCCATTTCCTAGAATGATAGAATTGTCTAGGTTGGAAGGGACCTTTGAGATCATCCAGTCCAACCATCAACCTAACTCTAATAAAAACCCTTCACTAAACCATGTCTCTAAGCACTATGGCAACCCGGCTTTTAAATCCCTCCAGGGATGGGGCCTCAACCCCTTCCCTGGGCAGCCCATTCCAAGGCTTAAGAACCCTTTCCCTGGAAACATTTTTCCTAATATCCAACCTGAACCTCTCTTGGTGCAACTTGAGGTCATTTCCTCTTGTCCCATCACCTGGGACTTGGGAGAAGAGGCCGACCTCCCCTGGCTACACCCTCCTTTCAGGGAGTTGGAGAGAGCCAGAAGGTCTCCCCTCGAAAGACTTTCTTACAAAGGTTCTTTCTGCTAAGACTCATGTCTCACGGTGGCTCTACAGTCTCTTCAGGGTTGCTGGGCACATTGTTGCTGGTACCAAAGGTAAGCACCACCCAGTTCTCAAAACACTTGTTTTGAACTTGAAGAAGAAGGAGGGAATACTGCAAAAAAGAAAGTTTTACAACATTTCATTTTGAACTTCTTCAGGCTGTGTTGGCAGGGTCAACAGTGTGCTCACAGCCCTCCCTTTTAAAAAGTGCAAATCTTTAGGTTCCTCGAAGAGGGTTCTCCAGAAGGGGAGGTGGGTGCTTTGCTCCCATTACTGTTGCAGCAGTTGAATGCAGGGGGCTTGAAGCACAAAACTGAGGAAACTCGTATGGTAAAATGTAGGGGAGTGCTTGCTTACAGGTAACCTCAGCAGGACTGCACAAACAGGTGACACGTCCTGAAGAGAAGTCCCAGGTAAGTAACCTGTCTTTGCTCATTGTTCTGCTAGTTTTTGAGGTTTAACGCAAAATAAAAATGTTTATGACATAGTTTAGGCTCTTAATAATTTCTTCCTTTACAACAATACATTGCTGCAGCCCTTTTTCCAGTTTCCTGTAGTCAGGTGTGTGTTTTGTTATTTCCTTTTCCAAAGGTGTTGCATTCTGAAGCTGAAAATACTTTCAAATTGTTTTAAAAAGAAAGAATTTATGTGAAGGGCAGTATATTCAATACACTTATTTTAAATTAAAAGCAGGAGGTTTCTTTAGACCATTTGAAACCTGACTCAAGTAAAAGAAAGTTCTTTAATATGCAGTCCAACTGATAAATAATTAAGTACTACTCTTTCATTCTATGACACATTACTCTCATTTTTTAGAAGGTGAATGGCAGCTTGGCTCCTTTTTTCATCTGTTGGATCTTCTCTGCTGGGAATAATTATATTGGTGTTTTTGTGTTGCATTTTGTGTGCATTTAGTGTTGTACTATGGAGAAAGACAATTCCAGCTCTCACCTTTCTGGCTGGCTTGCTTGCTTCCCTCCTCTTTTTTAGCTAATCCAAAATTCTGTTTGCTGACTCAAAGTGTGTGTTTAGTCCCTGGCACTCAGCTCGCTCCCTGTCTCCCTACGGAAGAGATGGCACCAGTTGCGTTTCTTGCTCCATGTGAGAGAGACACTTGAAAAGCTTGGGGGGGAGCAGCAGGTTTGTGTTAATTAGTTTGAAAAGGTAACCTTTCTCTGCCACTGTCTGGCTTTTCTTCCAGCCTGTTTCTTGGAGGCTTTCTTCAAGAGCAACCATTCATCCTGGTGGTAGGTCTCCCTCTCCCCACGGTCCAACCGTCACTGTTGATTGGTTTCGATTGGCATCGGCAGTTGCATTATAAAAGGATTTTGGCCCCTTGGAATAAAAAACAATTTATTTATTTATTTATTTTAAATAGAATGTAATTTTTAAAAGCAGATTGTCCTAATCCCAGCTATTTTTCTCCAGGCCTTTTCAACCCCAAGAAGACATCAGGCTGCGCTTTCCAGCTGCCAGGAACGTAACTGCTGCTTGTGCTGGTGGATGTTTGGTTGAGAACAGGTAAAGTCACCACTAACTGACAGTGCCCTGAATCCATTTTAGGACTAAATTTGTCTTTGTGCATGAAAGCCCTCTAAAAATATGCTGTACTGCCTCGGTGCTAGTGATAAAGCAACGAAGGAAATTTGTTTGTCCGCTTGTGAGTGGGAGTGCCTGCCAGGCTGGAGGGCTTTCCAGCTGCTGGGATGTGGGGAGAAGAATTTTCACAGAACATTTGGGCTGTGCACCCTTCACTTCACAGGTGATTGCTTTTCCTTTGGCCCCTTTACTGCTTGAAATTTATGGGATGAAACAACAGTATTGGGTCCTTGCAGTCTGCAGAATGACGTGTCTGTCGGTATGGACTGTGATTCCAGTGTCCTTAATGCTCAAAATCTCTTCTAGGTTTTTATGCATAGAACAGTTCAAAAGTGTACAGTAAAACAGAGCAAACTTGAATGCTTTATTTTTTCAGTATTAATTTTTTCGTTGAAATAGGATTTCAATGAGTGACTTAGAGAAGTCGATGTCTGTAACGCTTTATGATATCATCCTGGGAAGTATCTAAACATGAGCTCGATATAATCTCTTTAATGAAATTGCTTGGGAGAAAAAGGGGGGAGAGTTATGAGACTAGAGATCATTCAGTGTGATCTTGAGTAAAAGGGTTGTTACCATGTCATCCCTATTTTAACTGTAGAAAGACAGACAGCTGTTCCGGTTGGAATTATTAAAATCTGTGCTTTAAAGAATACTTTCTTTGCAAGAGCCCTTAAGAAAAACAAAAATATAGAAAAGGAATAAAATCAAAAGACCAGTGATGGCATTTTGAAGTACTAGCTTGTTAGCTATATCAACATGAGTTTCCTTCAGTGTCCATCTGTTAGACATGATTAAGGTGGCAGCTGTGCCCTGAGGTAAATATAAAACCTATGAGATAGTGTAATCTTTATAGATCTAAACCAGTAAAGTAACTTTATAAATTATTACAGATGTTTCACATATGGGTGCCTGATCAGGTTATGAATTAATGCCTCAAATACAGACTTGTGTGCTTTTCCTGGCTCCTTGGCCAGCCCCTTTCAAACCATCTCCCTAGATGGATCCCGAATTCCACTGGGGAAGTAGGAGATACAAGTCCTAGAGGTGTATGTGATCGTGGGCCTGGAAGAGGAGGCTGGGCTGAAGGGACATCAGCTCATCCAGTTTTCACAAAGGAAATAATTTGAAGAACTGGTGGAAGAAATCAAAGCTGATTCTCAAGCAAAGCTGTTTGTGCCAGGCCCTGCTCAAAGAAATACATTGGAAAATTTCCATAAAAGCAAGGGAAGGGTATTTAAAATCAGAGATGATCATGGAGAAGAAAGGAGGTGAGATAGCTGGCCACCAGCCCAGAAAGCCAACCACATCCTGGGCTGCATCAGAAGAAGCATGTCACCAGATCGCAGGAGGTGATTCTACTCCTCTGCTCTTGTGAGACCCCACCTGGAGCACTGTGTCCAGCTCTGGAGTCCTCAACGTAGAAAGGTCATGGACCTGTTGGAAGAGGTCCAGAGGAGGGCCACGAAAATGATGAGAGGGCTGGAGCACCTCTGCTATGAAGACAGGCTGAGAGAGCTAAGGTTGTTGAGCCTGGAGAAGAGAAGGCTCCAGGGAGACCTTATAATGGCCTTCCAGAATCTGAAGGGGACCTACAAGAGAGATGGAGAGGGACTCTTTATCAGGGAGTGGAGCAATAGGATGAGGGGTAATGGTCTTAAACTGAAAGAGAGGAGATTTAGATTAGATCTCAGGAAGAAATTCTTCCCTGTGAGGGTGGTGAGACACTGGAACAGGTTGCCCAGAGAAGCTGTGGCTGCCCCATCCCTGGAGGGGTTCAAGGCCAGGCTGGATGGGGCTTGGAGCAACCTGGTCTGGTGGGAGGTGTCCCTGCCCAGGGCAGGGGGGTTGGAACTGGATGATCTTTAAGGTCCCTTCCAGCCCCAACCATTCTATGATCACTTGAGGTTGCTCAGGCTCAATTTAGTATGGACTGATGGCTTTTTACCCAGGCAAGTATCTCCAATACCCTACTTGAAAGAGCACTGAGACAGTGACACACACACAGAGACATGAAGTAATTTTCCTTGAGGAAGGCTTGGGAGTCATCTGACAAGCAAAAAAGAATGATAGAAAGAAAAGCATCGCAGCGAGGAACATAACACAGGTATTTGTGTAGCTCTCAAGAAATGGCTGTGCAAGACCACAAACGGGATCTTATGCAATAAAAATTCAAAAGATGTGAAGTGATAAACTAAATCAAGGATGAAAAATCAAGGCTAAGAAAGTGAGAAAGAAAGAAACCAAGCTGTACCACTCGCAGTTCTCATGCCATCTGTGCATGTGAGGAGGTGCCAGACATAATTTTGCTGATGGATCCTATTTTGAAGGCGCTGTTGAAGATAACACAACTATTGCATTGTCTGTACTGTTATTTTTGTTCTTTCGTACAGAAAATCATCCCAGAATCAGTTTGTTTTCATACTGACTTTGAATAACAACAACAAAAAGACCCCAAAACATGGACTGTTGTAATCTAGGTAGCAAGAACACCAGGATACAGAGAAAGCACAGCACAAACAATAACCACTGAAGGAAAACATGTTCCTTATGTAGGAGGAAAACCATGATTCTTTTTATGTATCAGTCATCTCTAGTATATTGAAGGGACATAAAGCAAGCTGGAAAATACTGATGTAGTAGAGAGAGCTGGGGTTGTTCAGTCTGGAGAAGAGAAGGATCCAGGGAGACCTTATAACAGCCTTTCAGTATCTGAAGGGGACCTACAGGAGAGCTGGGGAGGGACTCTTTATCAGGACGTGTAGTGACAGGACAAGGGGTAACGGTTTTAAATTGGAAGAGGGGAGATTTGGATTAGATATCAGGAAGAAATTCTTCCCTGTGAGGGTGGTGAGGCACTGAGGTTGCCCAGAGAAGCTGTGGCTGCCCCATCCCTGGAGGGGTTCAAGGCCAGGCTGGATGGGGCTTGGAGCAACCTGGTCTGGTGGGAGGTGTCCCTGCCCAGGGCAGGGGGGTTGGAACTGGATGATCTTTAAGGTCCCTTCCAGCCCCAACCATTCTATGATCACTTGAGGTTGCTCAGGCTCAATTTAGTATGGACTGATGGCTTTTTACCCAGGCAAGTATCTCCAATACCCTACTCGAAAGAGCACTGAGACAGTGACACACACACACACCACACAGAGAAATGAAGTAATTTTCCTTGAGGAAGGCTTGGGAGTCATCTGACAAGCAAAAAAGAATGATAGAAAGAAAAGCATCGCAGCGAGGAACATAACACAGGTATTTGTGTAGCTCTCAAGAAATGGCTGTGCAAGACCACAAACGGGATCTTATGCAATAAAAATTCAAAAGATGTGAAGTGATAAACTAAATCAAGGATGAAAAATCAAGGCTAAGAAAGTGAGAAAGAAAGAAACCAAGCTGTACCACTCGCAGTTCTCATGCCATCTGTGCATGTGAGGAGGTGCCAGACATAATTTTGCTGATGGATCCTATTTTGAAGGCGCTGTTGAAGATAACACAACTATTGCATTGTCTGTACTGTTATTTTTGTTCTTTCGTACAGAAAATCATCCCAGAATCAGTTTGTTTTCATACTGACTTTGAATAACAACAACAAAAAGACCCCAAAACATGGACTGTTGTAATCTAGGTAGCAAGAACACCAGGATACAGAGAAAGCACAGCACAAACAATAACCACTGAAGGAAAACATGTTCCTTATGTAGGAGGAAAACCATGATTCTTTTTATGTATCAGTCATCTCTAGTATATTGAAGGGACATAAAGCAAGCTGGAAAATACTGATGTAGTAGAGAGAGCTGAGGTTGTTCAGCCTGGAGAAGAGAAGGCTCCAGGGAGACCTTATAACAGCCTTTCAGTATCTGAAGGGGACCTACAGGAGAGCTGGGGAGGGACTCTTTATCAGGACGTGTAGTGACAGGACAAGGGGTAACGGTTTTAAATTGGAAGAGGGGAGATTTGGATTAGATATCAGGAAGAAATTCTTCCCTGTGAGGGTGGTGAGGCACTGAGGTTGCCCAGAGAAGCTGTGGCTGCCCCATCCCTGGAGGGGTTCAAGGCCAGGCTGGATGGGGCTTGGAGCAACCTGGTCTGGTGGGAGGTGTCCCTGCCCAGGGCAGGGGAGCTGGAACTCAATGATCTTCAAGGTCCCTTCCAACTCCAACCATTCTATGATTCTATGTTTGTGCTGTGAATGCAGGGGATAAGTCACCCCTGATTATTCCACTCTGCAAAGGGCATCTTGCTGATGGCTTAATGGAGCCAGAAGCAGCAGTGAGCTTTGGCATCCTGTCAGTGAGGCTTGTTCCCTTGCTTCCAGAGAAAAGCAACTGACAGCTTTATCTTGCAGCAAGTACTACTGGGCAGCTCTAACCTTTCTGGTAGCAAACTCAGTCCACGCTTCAGTCTCCTGCCCCGATTCACTCTGCAGTGACTTAGAAAAGGACTGTAGTTAATTCCCGTGGTGGAAATACACAGTGCAACTCCAAAATGATGGGGACATGCATCTTGCTGCAGTGACATGCAGCTGACATGCCCCAGGGTGTCTAAAATGACATTACCAGTTGTGTTTAGACTGAAACCTGTCCTTAGAGTGGGGTGATGTGAGTGTGTGCCTGTACATAGATACCTCAAGACAGTAAAGGTAGCAACTGGCCTTTTTGTAACTGCAACAGAAGTTTATCAGTTTGGGGTTTAGTTATTGTTTTGGTTGCTTCATAGGCACCTCTTCTTTTTTTTTTTTTTTTTCT